GTGCTGACTCCCGGCTCCAACTCTGGTTTCCAATTCTGGCAAGACCCTTGGTATCCCCCAATTTTGGTTCTTGGATCTTGATCCTGGTTTGACCACCAGCTCTGACTTCTGGTTCCTGATCTTGGTTAGTTATTGGCTTACCCTGCTTCTGGCTATGGCTTTTGACCCTGGCCTGTTTTGACTTCAGCTATGGCTCCCAAATCCAGTTCTGATACCATACCTCCTCCATACTCCCACCTCCCACGGGAGCCAACCAGAACTACACCTGTGCTTTGGATGTCTAACCACTGGCAAGACCACCCACAACCCAGTTTCTGAACAAGCAGCACATCTGGAGAAGACGATCTAGCAGGGCATGGTGGGATCATATTATCTGGCAGACCTGGGATGACTAACAGCAGCTTCAGACTTCCACAGATTTGTGGGAAAAGCTTGTTACATCCCCCCGTGCCAAAATACTCAACTGAGAGACCACGTGGCAGGGTGGGAAAGAACGGCTACTACTCTCTAGGAGCTGGAGACACCTCTGTGGCTCACCAGTTTGATGTTGGCAAGCCAACTCTACTCTTGAGTTTTTGGTGATGCGATGAGCTTCTTAAATTGTCTCACAGGCGGTGGGTACCAAGAGCAGTCCTAAAAGTCATAGATAGCTTTCAGAGAATTGGAGTTCCCAAATTGCCATACTGGGAAGCAAGGTGTATAAGGAGGGCATAGGTGTCCATGTAGCTGATGTCTATGGGGATCTGACTGGGAGTACATGCACTGCTTTCTTGATTACACTTGGTCAGGGGACCCAATGAAATATCCTATTTACTCAAATCTAAGACAAGGGTTTTTCTTCTTCATTCAGCAGTCTTCCCTTCCTAAGTGCAGGGGGGCTGGACCCAATGATCTGCAAGGTCCCTTCCAGCCCCTAACAACTATGAGAAAGAAACCTCGTGTACGATTCAAGTACCGGTCCGAGGCAGGCTGTTGCAGCAACAGCTTTGAACTGGGACAGGATCATATGGTACGGAGTTAGGGGTACTCACAGGGGGTGATCACGGTGCAGAGGAGGAAATGTAGGGGAGACTGTGGGGTAAGGCCAGAGCGCAGGCGAGACTATGCAGCGGCGGGGGAGCAGCCCTGGCCCCGAGCTGCTGCAGCCACTGCCGTCTGGCTAGGGTTAGCCACTGTGTGCTCCATGCCCTGGGCCAAAGCTGGAGCAAGAGTTGCTGCACAGGGCGAGTGGCAGCAGAGGGTGGGGGGGGGCCAGGAGTGGCCAAGGGGGATGCTGCCTGCCCCCCGACCCCATTTTCCCTGCCACAGTGTTGGGGAAGTCAGAATTTAAGGTGACCCCAATAATTTGATTCTGTATGTGGAAAACTATAAATTTGTTAATAATTTTCAAAGTCCTCTAGGATTTAGATAAATAGATTTAAAAAAAAAAAAGTCCTTTTTTTTTTTTTAAGTTTGCAAATGGAGTAGGAAGCCTACGTATAGGGGTCTACACTCTTCTTTCAGGAGGTAAATTGCCCCTGATGATTTTTCTAATCTTAATTAACAGAAGGCTTTTAGCTTGATTTCCGCATGTCTACTGTTTTCCCCGTTGTAACCTTCCACCTCTTGTAGGTTTTAAATCATAGGACTCCACATAAATTTAGTCCTCAAGTGGCTGTTTTCTGATACTTTAATGAAATCTCTGCATAAATATGGGTATTTGTTTCTCTGCAAATGCTTTGACAGCCAATTCTATACAGGAAAGCAAACATTTATTAAGCAAACAAGTACCTCCAAAGGCAACAAAATAACAAGAGGGGCAGATAGGCTGCCTGCTAGCAATTCCAAAATGCAATACAGTGTAAATGTAGCATAGCGCAAAAAAGTAGCCCTGAACTAATTAAATTAAGGTGTGCCAAACAGGAGAGAGAAAACCACTAAAAGCAGAGCTTCTAAATAGCCTCAACTATCAGTTTCCAATAGTACCCATCTTATTCTGCCATTTCATAGCATCACCCAGTGCACATTGTGCAGGGCTGCAAAAGGATTTAGACTAGGGACACTGGTTATCTACCTGGATTTCCAGTGTACTTATCTCTGCCCCGACAGAGAAGGGAGTGAGTATTATCTAGAAGAGTCAGAAAATACAGATCTAGGGAATTCTGGGAATGCCAAGGGGACTGTACTCCAGCCCTTTTACTCGAGACAGTGAAGCCTGCGGGTAGGCAAAAGGGGAGACAGCTCAAGCCCAGCATGTCCCCTTATCTCCAGCTGAGCTTGCACACTTGGGTTGATTGTCCATAGGCCTGTATAGAAAAAGTGCAGATGTGCACAGAAGTGCATATTAGAACAAGGAGGCCTGACAGCACAGACATGCCCTTAGATGGCTTTTACCTAGTTTAGAGACAAAATGCAGATCCTCCTCCGCCCACCACCCCTGATATTACCTGGAACCTAAACACATGCACTGGCTTTTTATTTTTAAAGGAAGAAAAAACATGCAATCTGGACAGTTAATTCATAATGCTTTCAAAGAATAAAAAAAAAAAAAAAAAAAAAAATCACAAATAAAAAGTTACACTTTCACACCAGGTAGAGAATTAAAATACAGCGAGGAAAGGAAGGCACAAGACTTCCTCAGAGGCCAAAGGGGACATTGCCAAACAAATTGCAGGGCCAGTCTTCAGAAGCTTAACTCTCAAGGAAGAAAACAGTCATTTTGTCTAAGGAGTTCCTAAAGCGATTCCTCTTGAATTTGCAAACACGGGCCACTAGCCTCTGGCTCAAATGGAGCAGAGACACTGCCATTTTTCAGAAAAAGCAGATACCAGCCGGCCTTTAGGTTGCCACTGCACAGCAGTGAAAAATAGACACAAGCTATGTGCAAATGCAATGAGCTTAGTGCACACCACCCTGATGAAGCTACAACACAGATTCAGGCCCTATGGGCCTCTCTCTGTCATCTTTTATTAGTCATTTTATTAGCCAGTAGTAATAACTTTTTATGGATATCCTTTAAGTACAGCAGCTGAAGGTAGGCAATGAGCTCAAGTGATGTGAAAAAATAAAAATAAAAAAGACCAAGAGGTATTCGTGTGTGAGGCTAGCTTTAAGGTGCACCAAAAGCATTTTACCTGCCAAGTCCTGAGGTCAAGAACCTAGCACGGCTGAAAATCTCATTAACATTTAAATGCCGTAGAGAGCTACACCCTGCTCAGATTTAAGTTCTTCCGGATTTCTGCTCTTGTAAGAGAAACAGAACCTTTGGCTTTCCAGGCAGAGAAGACCCGGGCTCTTGGTTTAAAACAGAGTTAATTTGTTAGGTTGGTTTTTCCTAACTCTCCACATAGGAGCTGTGTTAAGTGGGGACCTTTTTATTGCATTTGCTTTCACACACTTTAATTCACCTTTAAAGAAGTAGGAAAGATGCCATGGAGCGCTTGCCATCTGACTTCGCTCAGAAGCAGGGCTGTGTAGGTCCCTTCCCAGAGGTGGCTCCTCTCTTTTTTCAAATATTCTTTAAGAGCTTTACAAGGAAACATAACATGGACAGCTAAACAGCTCCTGTGCATCTCAGGACCCGGGGTCTGAGCAAGGAGTATACTGACATCATTATATAATATAATCTGAGTCTACAGAACATCAAGTGTCCTTCAACTCACTGATTTCAACAGACACCGAAGGCATGCAGCATCTCACAGGACTGAGGCCATAAAGCAGGGAGACTGAAGAGCTCCTTGCCCTTCAGAAGGAAGTGAGAGCTGGAAATTCAGTCTTCACACACACAAACTAATAATGAGCTCTACGCACCAGGAAGAGATACCGGTGGCAGAATTTGATCTATAATAAAAGGCTGTTGCAGGAAGGGTGATGGCAAAGTCAAGATGATTACAATTAAAAAGGAAATATTTAGCGAGCTAAATTTTTCCTTTCAGAATTACCAACAAGAACCTGGAAGCTAACAAAATATAAATACTTCCATTTAAATAACAAACGCTACAAATACCACAAGGTAAGATTTTAGGTATAAATATTTAACACCTTTCTGAGAGCCTTATTTCCAAGGAAATGGCTCAAATGAATGTCAAATAGATTCATGTTAAAAAAGCAAGTCACTTCTTTGCTGCTTATCTAATCAATCTCAGTGGTGTTGCAAATCAGACTAGAATTTGGCCAAATTATTTCTACAAAGAATTTTTTCCTAAAGTTTTGCTTCTGGACTATATCAGAATTAAAGCTGAAAATCTAGAATTGATCTTTTAATTTAATTAAGGTGCAACTTAATAATCCTTTAGCATCAAACATGTGAATATCTGATGCACTGCAGCTAAAGGCGGCAGGATATGTAGAAAGTAAACGCTTCACCCTGTACTCCACTGGGGAAATGTTATAATCACATGCCTGCTCACAATGATATCAGATGGACTTGGAGAGCAATTTCATCTTCCACGTGTGCACAAGTACAAGGGCTGTGAAAAAAGTTCTCTCGGGAGAGAGGGTTAAAGGACTTGTCCCCAACACCTGGCTAAAAAGGAAGCAATGTACATAGAAGAACATTCTTCTAAACTACTGAGTTTTTTTTCTTTATTTAATATCCAGCAATTTAAAATGAGCCCGTGGGCAGATGCACACTGCAAAAGCACAGCATCCCAGCCAGGACTTCCCAGGCCACCCACTCCCACTGGCAAGCTCCAATTCCACACGGCTGCTCCAGCGTCCTCCACAGCGATGTCCCAAACATGCTAGAGATCAAAATCCTGAGGGTAACAAAAAGGACAACCCAGAAGAGCCCCACTTACATATTTCTGACCTGATCACATGGAAGTGGGGAGGGGGGGGCAGGCATCTGGAGGCTCACGGTCATCCTGTTCAAGGCTTGCTGCTACTGTCGTGGAGACATTCCCTTAGGCTCCTATGCCGCTGAAAATTTTACCCTTGGAGACATCTGTTGCTGCTCTTGCGAGTGATAGCCAACAGACTGGTATTCCCAGCTTATGCTCTAGTGTTTGAGATGTGCTTACCTGGGCTGGTTCTCCTGGGAAAGGCTCTCCCCTCTCTGATAGCCACTGTCTGCCACCTGGGTGGTGGACCTCTTGACAATCTGCTTAAGCTCCTGTTCCAGACGATCCTGGATGGCCTTCACCGTCTCGGGGATTTTTTTCAGCTTGGCCAGCCCTTTGATAAGGATCCCCATGAAAACAGCACTGTTCTCTTCTGGATCCAGTTCTGAATCTTCTTTGATCTCCAGCAAGGTCATCTCTCTCGCTGGAACACAGAACAGCGCCACAAACCGTTCAAACCGCTCAACATACAAGCCCCACCAAACTAATCAAATATTCCTACTGGTTTGTCCGAGCACCTGGAGGAATAGATGTTAGGACATCCTACAACTCGCTTCTTTGCCGTCATTAAAACAGAGCAAACAGCAAATTAGACTGAATCAAAATTAGGAGTTCATATATAAAGATGGTATAAATGTACAGGCCTATTACAAGGCATAAAAAAGTCTAGCATGAAAACGCCTATAAATATGAATTATTACTTAATCATTGTACAGCTGTGAAATTAGGCCCAATCCAGCTGTTTTCTATGCTTCACAAGAGTGTTTATTATGGGAACAACCAAAATCCTTATGAATTTGTAACCCAAAGCCTTCCCTTTCCCTTCTTCATATTCTAGTTCATAGTTTTACTCCTACTGTTGAAGGGTTGAAGAAATTAAATCAACCTTTGTCGTAAGATGTGTAAAAAAAAGAAAAGAAAAAAAGGTTCAATTTAAAAAAAATTAGATGAAGAATTTACAAAGGTATTCTGGACACAGTCCACTTGAAATAACAAGGGATACCTTAATAGGAAGATACGTTGCTAGGAGACTGTAGCCAGAAAAACACATTACCCTACGACTTGTTTTTAAGTACGTTCATTAATCAAAAAATTCTTAATTTCCAGATAATGAACAATAGCAACAAAGGATGCCTGTGTTAAAGACTGAGCAAAAAAAATTAATTGTATGTTTAAAAGGCAACACAAAAGGAAGTCTTCAATGGAAACCCAACTACAGGGTGTTGTAAAAGCTGTACAGCTACATGGCTTGCTGACAGCTTGGCTGGAAGTACAAAGAGACATAGCAGAAGTCTACATTGTAATGTCGGAGTTGCTTCATCTGGTTACTAATACAGAGAGTAAAAAGAGCCAACATCCTGCTGGTGCTGAACTGAGCTCAGACTTGGAGAAAAGAGAACTCCCCTCACGTACGCTGCCCTATAATAGCCTGGTTAGAAATAAAAGTCATCTACAGAAACCACCAAAAACATCATAATGTTTGGCACAGATGACAAAGACAGTCAGAAAGGAACAAAGGGCTTTATATTCGACCAACAAGATGACACTACCTTAGGTATAAAAGGGTCCATAGAGAGTGGACCAGTGGTCAAGAAAAGAGCAACCCAAACAGGCGCCCAACTCATCACAACGCCAGTCTTGGCCCTTCCTTTGCTACCACATCCTCACACCTGCAGCAATAGCGATATGTCTGAAGTCTTTTCCTGACTTAGGAGAGAACAACAACCACCAAAAAAAGCTTGTTTACTGTCTTATAGCCTGAGTAACTAGGACTGAAAGCCAATTTGAATGCAAGCAGCAATGAAACTATTAATATTTTACATAGCGTGAATCATCACGTCATATAAAATCCTGGGCAAAGCTGCTCATTACATTGCAGCTCTTTAACCACCATCCAGACGCAGGCTTGGAAATGCATCAAAGATCACACAGGACCTTTCAACCTCCTGCGAGGCAGAGGATACAATAATACAGTCATTTTAATGAGCGTCTGGACCAATGCTCCCAAGCTCTTGTTGCCCTAGCCCATAACGCGGCTTCTGGCCATTGAGGCAAGGCCTACAAGTCTTGCTTGACATCTGTCCAAAAACTTCAGCCGGATCATTTCTAGAAGTCAGCCTTAGAGTATGTTGAAGTTAGAGACGTCCAATATTTTTGAGGATGTAACATCATCAGTGATCCAAAGCTTGCAAAATGCTCTGCACAGCTCTATTTTCTGCCAGAAGGCATCCATATAATTCCCATTATCATTTTATTCTCATGTTGCTTTTAATATAGCACCATGTTTAGTTACACTATTAAAACTTATTTCAGTGCCAGCTGACCTGCATAGCTATCACCCCAACCCTATTTTTCCATGTAGGGAGCAAAGAACACATTCTGTATCCACCGGTGTAACCCCAGACACCACATCCCTGATTTACCATATGCACTATTTCCACTACCAGCTCTGGCCATACTCTCAAAATAGACTCCCTGAGGACATGGACATAGAATAAGGAGACAGAACAGTGACATGATGAGTCAAAAACCAACTAATTTAAATTTCAAATGGGGGGAAGGGAGGAATTGTTGCTTGTTGCTGTTGGTTGGGGTTGTTTTTTTT